GAGAGAGAGAGAGAGAGAGAGAGAATATCTTAAGTAGCTCCATGCTCACACAGAGCCCCACATGGGGCTCAATCCTACAGCCCGGGGATCATGACCTGAGCTGAAACCAAGAGTCAGATGCTCAGCGCACTGAGCCACAGAGGTTGCCCCACTCTTTTGCTTTTCTACTGTGTGTTAGATTAGCAACATTCCATTACTACTATAATTTAGGAGGGAAAAATTCACCTCAGGTATGTAAGTGATAAGCATATGTATAGCATTCTGATGGATACTTGGATACTTGATAGCTGCTCCCTGACATTTCTTTATTTAAGGTATTTGAATGGCAACAAAATCAATTATCCAATCAACCTGAATGAGACTTTTTTTTTTTAAAGACAGGGAACATTTTAAGTGTTACTGTGTCCTTCCTTCCTACTGGATATGTTTAGCACAGACCCAACAATCGATCAGTATTTAATGATTTAAGAAATCTTTCAATATGTAATTGACTACCAAACTGAACACAGATCCCTGCATTGGAATAGCCTGGCCACTATACCAGTAGACAGTGACTATTCCAACAACTTAAGAGATAGTGCAGACAAGAGAGGTTAAATATAGCTTTTATTTCATTATATTGTAATATTTTAGGTAATAATTTGTCCTGTGTTTCATTTCACATGTAGGGAATTCCGAATGAAAGCTGGAGAATAACAAAGATAAATGAGAGGTATGAGCTTTGTGATACATATCCTGCCCTATTGGTTGTGCCAGCAAATATTCCTGATGAAGAATTAAAGAGGGTGGCATCCTTCAGATCAAGGGGCCGTATCCCAGTAAGTATGAAGCTTTGAGGAGACTTTGCAAATGCTTTTGTACTCTGCGTGATGCTGAAGTTAATGAATGGGAACATGGATGCAGGATAAAAATAGCTATAGCAACAGGCCTTTTATGGGGGTATTAGAGGATGAGTTATTTAGTAAAATGAAAAGTGGAGGAAAGACTTAAAGAAGTTTCTGAGAATCTGATATGGGTATTAGAGAACTGCACAGAATTGCAATTCTTAACTTGAAAACAAGGTTGGCTCTGTATTGTTCACTATTTCTTTATTTTATTATATATTCTTTAATCATGGTGGTAACTGCTCTTTTCCTTCAAACCCTGGAAAGAAGAAAACTTTATAAATTTATGATGAAGTATTGTGTTTTAGAAAGATTGGCTTAAATAATTTTTGTTACAAAGCTCATAGATTCTGAAGATGTTATAGTTAGACAGTTTGCTGATTTAGTAATAAAACTTTAAGAGGTTTACTTAACACTCTTAATATATTTTTTCCTAGAGACAGCACTTCCGAATAATCATGACTTTCATAACTCAATACCTGATTAAAGAATTAGACCAAATTGCCCATATGCCAGAATTGGCTTGAAAGAAAGGCAATGATTTTTTATAGCAGCCTTATATATCCTTTCATGGTTAGGCTTTGGAACTAATCAGAAAGCAGAATTTTGTAGAGTAATGTTTTTGAGAAGAATTATAAACAGAAACATATATAAAGGGTGTGTCACTGTTTTTCCCCCATTAAGGTTTTATCATGGATTCATCCTGAGAGTCAAGCCACAATCACTCGATGTAGCCAGCCCATGGTAGGAGTGAGTGGAAAGCGAAGCAAAGAAGACGAAAAATACCTTCAAGCTATCATGGATTCCAATGCTCAGTCTCATAAAATCTTTATATTTGATGCCCGGCCAAGTGTCAATGCTGTTGCCAATAAGGTGAGATTGTCTTTCAGTAATTAAGATTTCAGTTCCATGAATCAGCTGAGTTTGGTGGGAGCCACAATGTAGTAGAAAGATTTTGGGCTCTCCAGTGACAAAGATACAGATTCTAATGCTGGCTCTCCTGCTTGATGGTGTGACTTTGAGTTAGTTACTTAATCTTGTAACTTTTTATTTGTTTACTTTTTTATTGAAGTACAATTGAAATACAACCTCATGTTAGTTACAAGTTTACAATATAATGATTCAGTATTTGTACACACTGTAAAATGATGACCACATCACATCTGTTTACCATCTACTACGATACAAATTTTCTTAGAATGAAAACTTTTAGGATTTACCTTCCTAGCAACTTTCAGAATCGTATCATTGACTCCATGGGGACTATAGTCCCCATGTTGTATGTTACATTCTCATGACTTACTTATTTTGTAACTGGTAATTTGTACCTTCTTATCTCCATGCATTTTGTTCCCTGCCAAACCCCCCACCCTGCAACCACCAATCTGTTCTCTGTATCTGTGAGTTTTGTTTGTTCGTTTGTTTTGTTTTTTAGATTCGAGGTCTGAGTGCAGTGATACAGTATTTGTCTTTGTCTGACTTAGTTCACTTAGCGTGATACTCTTGAGGTCCATTTGTGTTGCACAAATGGCAAGATTTCATTTCTTTTTATGGCTGAGTAGTATTCCACATTTTCTTTTTAAAGTTCATTTATATTGAAAGAGAGAGCACAAGTAGGGGAGTAGCAGAGAGGGAGAGGGAGAGAGGAGAGAGGAGAGAGGAGAGAGAGAGAATTCCAAGCAGGCTCAGCACTGTCAGTGCAGATCCTGATGTGGGGCTTGAACTTATGAACCGTGAGATCGTGACCTGAGCTGAAGTTAGGCACTTAACCGAGTAAGCTATCCAGGTGCCCCTATACCACATTTTCTTTATACATTCATGCACTGATGGACAGATAGATTCTTTCCATATCTTGGCTGTTGTAAATAATGCTGCAATGAACATAAGAGTGCATAGCTCTTTTCATATTAGTTTTTTTTATTTTCTTACAATAAATAGCAAGAAGTGGAACTGCTGAATTGCATAATGATTCTGTTTTTAATTAAAATTTTTTTAATTTATCTTGAGAGAGAGCGAGTGCACATGTGTGAGTAAGCGGGGGAGGGGCAGAGAGGGAGAGAGAGAGAGAGAGAGAGAGAGAGAGAGAAAGAGAGAGAGAGAATCCAAGCAGGCTCCATGCTGTCAGCAAAAGTCTGAATTAGGGCTCAATCTTACAAACCATGAGATCATGACCTGAACCTAAATCAAGAGTCGGACACTTAACTGACAGAGCTACCCAGGCGCCCCTATTTTTAATTTTTTGAGGAACCTCCCTACTACCATTGCCGTCATGCTTATCTTTTTGATAGTGGCCATTCTGACTGATGTGCAGTTATATCTCATTGTGGATAATTTGCATTTCCCTGATAATGAGTGATGTTGAGCATCTTTTCATGTGCCTGTTGGCCGTCTGTTGTCTTCTTTGGAAAAATGTCTATTCAAATCCTCTGCCTATTTTTTAATAGGATTGTTTGTTGTTATTGAGCTGTATAAGTTCATTATATATTTTGGATATTAATTCCTTATCTGATGTATGATTTTCAGATATCCTCTCCCATTTGCTAGTGAGGAGGTCCCTTCAGTATGCAGAAGCTTTTTGTTTGATGTAGTCCCATTTGTTTATTTTTGCTTTTGTTGCCATTACTTCTGGAGTAGGAGCCAAAAAGATACCACTAAGTCCAATGTCATGGACCTTATCACCTTAGTTTTCTTCTAGGAAGTTGAGGGTTTCTTGTCTTACATTCAAGTCTTTAATCCATTTCAAGTACAGTTTTGTATATGGTGTAAGGTAGTAGTCCAGTTTTATTCTTCTGCATGTGACTCTCCATAACAGTTATTGAAGAGACTGTCCTTTCCCCATGTATATGCTTGTCTCCCTTGTATATTAATTGACCATATATACATGGGTTTATTTCTGGGCTCTCTGTTCTGTTGTATTGCTCTATGTATATGTTTTCATGCCAACACCATACTGTTTTGATTACTGTAGCTTTGTAGTATAGTTTAAAAAAAATTTTTAATGTTTATTTATTTTTGAGAGACAGAGACAGCATGAGTGGGAGAGGGCAGAGAGAAAGAGAGCGAGATCCAGAATATGAAGCAGGCTCCAGGCTCTAAGCTGTTAGCACAGAGCCCGACGCGGGGCTCAAACTCATGACCCGAGCCGAAGTCGGGTGCTCAACCGACTGAGCCACCCAGGTGCCCCATAGCTCTGTAGTATATTTTAAAATCAGCATGATGCCTCCAGCTTTGTTTTTGTCAGTATAATGGGATATTTTGTGGTTCCAAACAAATTTTGGGATGGTTTTATTTCTGTGAAAAATGCCATTGGAATTTTAATAGGGATGGCATTGAGTCTGTAGATTGCTTTGGGCAGTACAACATTTTTCAAATTAATTTTTCCAGTCTAACTTATATCTTTCCATTTATTTATGTCTTCTTCAGTTTCTTTCATCAGTGTCTTACAGTTTGCAGTGTAAAGTTTTCTCACCTTCATAGTTAAATTTACTCCTGCAAATTTTATTCTTTTTGATGCATGTGTAAAGAAGATTGTTTTCTTAATTCTCTGATAGTTCATTGTTAATGTATAAAAAAAAGTAATAGATTTTTATATTGATTTTATGTGATTTGAAGTGATTGTTACTTCACTCCATTCATATATTAGTTCTAATCATTTTTTTGGTTGAATTTTTAGGGTTTTCTGTGTATAAAATCATGTCTACAAATAGTGACAATTTTACTTCTCCTTTCAATTTGGATGCCTTTTATTTCTTTTTCTGCATAATTGCTCTGGCTAGATTTCCAATATTTTGTTGCATAAAAGTGGTGACAGTGGGTATCCTTGTCTTGTTGGTGATCTTAAAGGAAAAGCTTTCAGCTTTTCACCATTGAGTATGATAGTTGGGGACTTGTCACACATGGCCTTTATTGTGTTGAGTGTTTTCTGTACTCACTTTGGTAAGAGTTGTTGTCATAAATGGATGTTGAATTTTGTCACATGCTTTTTCTGCATCTTTTAAGATGATATGATTTTTATTCTTAATTTTGTTTATCATGTTGATTGTTCTGTAGATGTTGAACCATTCTTACATCCCCCAAATAAATCCTACTTGATCATGGCATATGATCCTTTTAATGCATTGTTGATTTGGTCTGTTGAGTATTTTTGCATCTATGTTCATTAGGGATATTGACCTGTAATTTTTCTTTTTTTTTTTTTTTTTTTTTTTTTTTTTTTTTTTTTTTTCTTTTTTTTTTTGGTCTGCTTTTGGTGTCAGGGCAATGCTGGTCTCATAAAATGAGTTTGTTAGTGTTCTTACCTCTTCAGTTTTGGAGGAGGATGAAAGGATAGGTATTAAATCGTATTTGAACATTTGGTAGAAATCCCCAGTGAAGCTGTCTGGTCCTCGACTTTTGTTTGTTGGGAAGTTTTTGATTACTGACTCAGTTTCCTTACTAGTAATCCTTCTATTCAGATTTTCTGTTTTCTTCATGATTTGGTCTTGGAAAATTATGTTTCTAGGAATTTATTCATTTTTTTTCTTGGTTGTCAAGTTTATTGGCATATTATTGGTCATAGTCATCTCTTATATCCTTTGTATTTCTTTAATATCAGTTGGGACTTAACCCTTCTGATTTTATTTATTTGAACCCTCTCTTTTTTCTTAGTCTGGCTAAAGATGTGTTGATGTTATTAATCTGGCTTAGTTTCATTGATCTTTTCTAATATGGTTTCAGTCTCCGTTTCATTTTTTTCCATTCTGATCTTTATTAGTTTCCTCTGTGTATGAATTTTGGGCTTACTTTGTTCTTTTATAGTTTCTTGTTTCTTTAGGTAGGCCTGTATTGCTATGAATTTGACTCTTAGAATTGCTTTTGCTGCATCCCATAGATTATGGTGTGTTATATTTCCATTTTCATTTGTCTCAAGCTATTTTTAATATCTTCTTTGATTTCTTTGTTAACCCATTGATTGTTCAGTACCATATTGTTTAATTTCCATATATTTGTGATCCACCCCCCCCCCCCCCCCCCCCCCAGTTTTCGCCTTACAGTTGATTTATAGTTTTGTACCATTGTGTGCAGAAAAGATGCTTGATATGGTTTCAGTCTTCTTCAATTTATTGAGACTTGTCTTGTGGCCTAACATATGATCCATCCTGGGGAATATTCTATGTGCACTGAGAAGAATGTGTATTTTCCTGTTTTTCAATGGAATGTTCTGTTTATATCTAATAAGTCCATCTGGTGCAATGTGTCATGTAAGGTTGATTATTAATTTTCTGTCTGGATGATCTATCCACTGATGTAAGTAGCCTGTTAATCCCCTACTATTATTGTATTGCTGTCAGTTTCTCCTATTAGGTCTGTTGGTATTTGCTTTATGTATTTAGGTACTCTTATATTGGGTGCATAAACATTTACAAATGTTGCATCTTGCCGGATTGACCCCTCTATCATTATGTATGGCCCATCCTTGTCTTTTATTACAGTCTTTTATTACAGTCTTCCTAAAGGTCTATCTTGTGTGGTCAGTATACATATAAGAAAGTGATACCTGGTTTCTTTTGGTTTCGATTTGCAGGAAACATATTTTTTTATGTCTTTACTTTCAGTCTCCACATGTCCTTACATCTGAAATATGTCTACTGGAGGCAACATATTGATGGGTCTTGTTCTTTTTTTTTTTAATCCATTCAGCACTCTTTTGATTAGAGAATTTAGTCCAGTTACAGCTAAAGTGATTATTGATAGGTAAATACTTATTGGCATTTTTTTTTTTTTTTTTTTTTTTTTTTTTTTTTTTTTTTTTTTTTTTTTTTTTTTTGTCAATTTGTAGTTCCTCTCCATTTCTTCTTCATTTGGTTTCTTCCCTTTTGGTTTGATGACTTTCT